CTCCTTGCTGTGCCTCAGAAGCCCTTGGAAGGCGATGGGCCTCTCTCGGTGGAGCTGCGCGACTACATGCAGCGAGCCTACCGGTCGCTTCGCGGGGACGCGGGGTGCGAGGCGGCGCCTGGCGTGGAGGAGCCGCCGTGCCCGCGCCCGTGCCCGCGCCCCCGTTCCCCGTCTGAGGTCAGTGCAGCGTTGTCCCCCCGAGACCCCCCCATCCCGTGGAGCGTGCGGGCGAGGTTCGGCGCGACGCACCCAGCCGGGGCGGAACTGCGTGCTCCTTGCGATTCACGACCTTGGGGGCGTAGAACTTTCCCTCTTTCCCTCCCTTTTTGTTTTCTCCCGGTGGCATCCACGCATTTTTCAAAAAAAAATGCGACTTGCTGGTCTGTGGCTGGGGATGCCGTTTCTAGCGCCCGGTGTCGTGGGGAAGTTATGCTTGTGTATCTATACATATATATATATATATTCCCCCTTTCTTTTCCCTTTTTCCGCGCTTGCCATCGCTGCCGCTGGATGATAATCTCTCACTCTGACGGGTTTACTCTTCGCTGCTTCTTTTTTTCTTTTGCCTTTGCCGCGTAGCTCGATAGTATCTGACGACGCATGTCGGATAGTGACACGGCGGCGCTCGCCGCCCTGCAACACGCTTTAGATGCCTGCGAGGGCGCGCCGTTTCAGCCGGCGCTCCCCCCGCCTTCGCTGGGGGAGGGGGAACCGCGCGCGGCGGCCTCCGAGAGGCGGCCGGCGCCCCGCCCTGCGGCCGCACAGCCCCCGACGGTGCGGAAGCGCCCCGCAAATGACACGGCCGTTCTCCCGCGGGTATCCTCGCCGGACCGGCTCCGCCTGAAAACCTACCGGCTACAGAAGGAGTTTCAGGCCCTCAGCATGCAGCATGAACGCCGACACGAGCGGCTGCAGAGCATCCGGGCCCGCCAGTCCCCCTCACGGTCGTCCGTGTGGGCGGGAAGTGGCCGTCCGTCTGGCAGCGCTGCCGCCGCGTCGCGCCCGTCCAGTGTGATGCCTGACCACGCGCAGGCGCAGCGCAAGAAGGAGCGGGGGCCCACGCTGCCCAACCTGCTCAAGTGCTTTGAGGACGCTCGGACGCGGTACCTGTTGGAGGGGGAGCGCAGGAAGAAGGCGATGCCTCCCGTCTACTCTTCGCAGATACCCCGAGCCGCGGAGGCCGCGCACCGACGGCAGAGCCGAGACATCATGAAGGACCCTGACGCCTTTGGACTCCGATTCTTCAGTCAGTCCTACCTTCAGGAGGCGGGCCGGCGGTAGAGGGCGAAGAAAAAAAAACACGAAGCAAAGACGGAAAGAAGAAAAAGAGTAGACTCAAATGTAAACATTTATCCCACCTCACCGAAGGACCAAAGAAAAAAAAAACCGGTGTGGAAAAAAATGGGGTGATTCATGTTGAATGATAAAAAAAAAGTATTATACCTTGGCGGTAGGAAGAAAGGGGTTTGGCACAGTTTCGTGTCTGAGTGACCCCGACTTGTTTTTTTTTTTATGCTTTCATTTGGCTTAAACTGCTTGAGTGCCGCCGTTGCTGCATGTCTCTGCTTGTGTGTTGGGTGTTTGGCCCCCGGTTTCTCTTCGCCACGCCGTCCCTCTTCTTTTCTTTGCAGGGACTGCGCGGGAAGCTTGGCGCTGCACACATGACAGAGCTGGGCGAAGTCTTGGCCTGCCGTCTTGGGGCGGAGGATGAGCGGCTGCGGCGCCAGCACGAGGTGTTTGAGGAGCAGCGGCAGTGGCTGCTTGCGAAGCTCGTCGCCGTGTCGCGCAGCGGCGCCGGCGGCGGAGAAACGGATGAGACGCTGCCGGAAAGGCGGCAAGAGAGAGGGCCGTTGCTGTCCCATAGCTCCCGCAGTGTCGGCGGTGTGCCGGTCGAGGACCGGCTGCTGGAGTACGGGAGGCGGAGAGATGAACGGATGGAGCGGGCGCGCCGGGCTCGCCAAGAGGAGGCGGAGCTGGCGGAGAGAAAACTCCTCGAGAGGGCTGAGCCGTCGACGCGGAGCGGGACGCACGCTACTTTGTCGAGTGGCGCGGAGGAGGCGGCGCGCCGGCGGGCTGCAAAGTACGAGCGCCTCGTGGAGGAGTCCACGGCGGAGCTGAGCTTTCACCCCCGGATCTCGGTTGAGTCGGCGCGCCTTGCGCAGGAGCGGCGGGCGAAGGAGAACATGGGGGCCTTGTCTGTCCCGGAGGCCCTGCTGCGCCGCCAGGCAATCGCCGATGCGAAGCTGGAGAGAAAGCGAGCCGAGCTGAACGCGATGCGCGCGGCCCCAATGATTACGAAAAAGGCGAAGAGGTTGTCCCTCCCGTGCACGGCTGCGGAGCGGCTATATTTGCATGCAAGGGAGCGGCAGAGCGAGGAGAGGGAAGTGGGTGCAAGGCTGCGTGAGCTGAGCGAGGAGAGTTTGGAGTTCTCGTTTCACCCGTCCATTTCCGAGAAGGCCGAGCAACTGCACAGAAAGCCGGGGCGACGGGCGTATGAGGACCTCTACGAACACGGGATGCAGCGGCAAGGGCGGAGACGCCTTGAGTCCCCCGAGGCAAGTGCCGAATTTCGCCCCAGCATAAACCGGGTGAGCGAGCTGATCGCGGCGCGGATGAGCGAGTCCACGACGGAGCGCCTCCTGAAGCCGCGGCGAGCGACACGCAACGAAACGCCCCCTGCAAAGCTGCGCCTGCGGCGTGAGGACCTCGATCGACGCTTTGACCAGCTGTACATGGACGGCGGCGCAAGGACCACCCGGCGACGCTCGTTTTCGGAGGGGGAGCAGCAGTTGGGGGCGGAGTGCACGTTTGCTCCAAAGATCAACCGGGGCCGCATCCCCGCAGACGGCGTCTCCGGGCTTCCGCTGAATGTGCGCATGCAGCTGTGGCAGGAGCGGAAGAATCAACGGTTGCTGTTGAGCAGGCGAGAGGCGGAGAAGATGGAGGCGGAAGAATACGCAGGGGTGCCCGCCGCCTCCCGGCAGAGGACGCGGCCTCCGATGGAGAGAGGCATTAGGTGCACGCCAGCGGTGGCCTTGCGTGACGCAGCCGCCCTCAGTCTGGGGCCTCACGCAGCAGACGGCGGCGGCGCTGTGCCGGGGACGGCGTTGGCGGGGCCTGTAGAGCATGAAGAGACCATCCAAAAGGCGCTGCAGGCACTCGAGAATGCGCAGCGCGTGTCCCAGTACATCATGCTAGACTAGAATTGCGGGGATGGAAAGGAGGCACACGCAAACGCGCAGGTACACCACAGAAGTCTTGAGGGGAACGAGGCATGTTGTTGATGTTATTTTTATTTGTTGTTGTCGTGGTGGTGTCAATGCACCTTTTTCACGTGCAGCTGATGATGC